CAGTCGGCAGTCTCATCTAACGGTAGGCTCAGGATCACTTTAATCCTATTTTAAGCTAGTTTGAAAAGTTAAATTAAATCAAATTATGGAAATTCCTATTCTTCTTGAATGAAATTTTATACTTATTTAAAAGTATTTTTTTTTTAATTTTTAGTTCTTATTGCAATAAAAGCGTGTTTTCAGTTTTTTTTTTAATTTTTTAAATTTTATTAATGCATACATAGTTGTATTTATGTCATTTTCGTAATGATTTCTAACCAACTTTCTGTAGTACTGTATAAAAAAAAAATGAAACAAACGGTTTTTTCTTGAAACTTGAAAATTTTTAACTGGTTTCTGGTAAATTGCCATTTTTCGAATGACACGAAACACGGTTTTCGAATAAAGGCAAACAATCGCACACCCTAATATGTGGACACATTCTTACTTACACACATACCTATGTATACGTACATGTATCGCTATATAAATTTGTTCAACAAAGTTTTTACCGTAAATTTCCAAATAGAATGCGAAGAATAGTAAATATTGTGAGCGCCACATGTCAAAGTGTAATTAACAAATTGTCACGCGTAATAATTTTATTTAAAAAATAAAATCCTCATTGTATGTATGGCTTTTTATATTTGATGTGCATACATACGAGTATGTAGTACATATGTTTGTGTGTGTGTGTGTTTTTCTTTTTTTTTTTTATTAATCCAAGCAGCCGTGCATCTGAGCCAAAAAGTCTGTGCAGATGTATTTCCCATGTGTGAGCACCTACGCACAGTAACATATGTGCATATGTATTTTCAGCTTTACTGGCTTTTCACTCTCAAAGAGCGGTGGGACGCCGTTTTCGTTGTCATCAACTGCGGTGGTTTTATTCGGATTTTTTTTGTCCATTTTACGAATATTTAAAAATAGAAAGTTTCAATATGTAGACACACATATTGTACAAGTATCTAGTATGTACATTAGGGCGGCTCAATTTTTGTGGGTAAATTTTTCGACTATAAGCGTACATCACAGAACGACTCTACGTGTAATTCTAAGCAAATTTGCCGAAGGAACCATGGGCCTAGCATAAATTTGGAGTTTGCCAAATTGCGAAAATAGGTTTCGCAATAGGTCGTAAAGAAGTGCTTAAGTTTTGCATAAAAATATGCTATGTGGTATTTTTGGTATTACGAATCCATTTCTGCACTTCCATTTTTCTTCAAACTTCCAACAAAGGGCGCAACAATGAAAATTTTCACATTTTCTTCGAAACCTATTTTCGCAATTTGGCGAACTCCAAACCGGTTTTAGACACACGATTTCTTCGGCGAATTTGCTTAGAATTACACGCAGAATCCTCCTATGCTAGACGCCCATGGTAAGAAAAAAATTGACCCGTCCTAATGTACATACATACATATGTATATCTGCCTTCGAATATATCACGTAGTAAGTGTGAGAAAAACTTTCAAATTTTTAAACGATAAAAAACCAATTAAAAACGAAACTGCTAATTATGTCGTTGTCATGAAAAATGATATTTTTATGAAAAGTGATGGACATGTGTATGCATGCCCATTATATTTATTGCTAAGCATACAATTCGGCTTGTAAAAAATTTAATGCATTTCCGGAATTTGGATACGTGCATGTGCATGCATATGTATGTAAGTACATGTGTGTGCATGTTTCTATGTAAGTTTGCATGTAATTCCGGAAACTAACCAGAAAAATGTTCGTGATTGCTTAATTGTTTTTGGATTGAAGTAGAAAAAAAAACGATTTTATACAAAATAACATAGAATTTCTTAAAAAAAAAACGGGCAACCGGGTATTAGCCTTTCTCCATTCGCAACCTAAAGCTGTAACCCTAAGAAGACGTTCATAGCGATAAAAAAAAACCTTTAATGCCTAATTCCTTGTAAAGAGTTCTTGCATAACTCTAATACTTGACAACCTGACTGGAGCAACTAGGGTCCTGCGAAAATAGCCCTGTTCGTATAGGTATTTTCCTTGCTTATTCTTAACAGACCCTTGATTAAAATAAGGTCTCCGGAATTCCAGATCCGCCTTACACAAAGAAAAATTACCTATAGAAACTAAAGAAGTTTCTAGGCCAAAGCGGAACGTCACGTTGCCACGTTAATGTTTGTAGATAAGTGAATGGCTGAGCTCAATGGGACTTTTCTTGGTCGAAAGTAAAAGGGAAGCAGTTCCAGTCAGGCTTGTAACAGGCAGAAAACTCCGCTGAGATGTGAATGTGTAGTGTTTTATGAGTCGCTGCTAACACAAGGTCATCCATCAAGTATAAGGTTATCATACTCAGATTGCTTAAAAAAAATCGCAAGGAACGAAATTTTCTGTGCAGATTTAATTCTATACTTGCGGAAAAGGAAAACAAAGTTCTGTAAATTTCGACTTAAAAACCCTTTTTCTGGAGTTATTTTGCATAAAATTTATTTACATTAAAAACTAATATTTACTCTAAAACTATTGAAAATCTACCCAGAATACTTTTTGCTTTTACATATATTTTTTAAACATAAATTTTTTTCAAATTTATGGAAAATTTTTTGTCGGCCTGATTTTGCAGAACCTCCTTTTTTATTTTCCATAACTCTAAAACAATTGAAAAATTACATAGAAAAGTTTTTATTTATTTTTTTTCAATCATCAAGCTTTTTTGACTTTTGTGAAAAGAAATATTCGGTGTAATTTTTCAAAAAAAATTTTTTTAAGAACTCTGAAACTATTGAAAAGCTGCTCAGCAGTTATTTTCTTATTTAAAAGAAAAAATATATATATAGTCGACTTTTTGGAAAAAAAAATTTCGGCTAAATTTTAGCAGAACTTTTTACTTTTATTGCTAAGCTATCCAGAACTGTTTTTTTTGTTTTTTTTTCGTTTTTGCAAAAATTACATTCATTCGACTTTTTGGAAAAAATTGTTTCGGCATCTTTATTCTCCTTTTTAAAAACTATTGAAAAGCTGATAAGAACAGTTTTTATTTTTTCAGACATTCAACTTTTTTGAGAAAAAATTTATTTTGGCACAATTTCGCAGAACTTTTTTCCTTTTTTAAGAAATATTGAACTATTGAAAAGCTACTCAGAACAGTTTTTTATTCAAAATTAAATTATTCGACTTTCCGGAAAAAACTAAACTTTTTTGGAAAAAAGGGAAAATTTCGAAGAACTTTTTCTTCCTTTCAAGAACCCTAAACTATGTATTTGGAAGCTATTCAGAGCATTTTTAAATTTGCCTTTCATATATAAACCAGCTGATTACAGTCCACAACTAACTCTAGGTTTTCTTAAAGCGTTTCGATTTAGAATATCCTGACACATTTGATAAGAAAACTTACCGAAGCGAAAGATTTAGGGCCGTTACTACAAGTTGAACTTCGTCATCGCCTCCCGGTTATGTGTTATGGAGCCGATCACGTCGATAATGATGTTTATCCTGCAATGATAACCAGACTTTGAGTAATCGGCCCTTAGTCCATCGAAAAGTACACATGTATATACGTTTGTAGTGTCTGTGAAATTCGTTATAGCCCAGTTAGTAGTCAAAGAAGACACAAGTGAGCACATACGTAAATACATACGTATGCGTAGATATGTGTATCTACTAAAGTCAGACAGGCTACTTAAGTAATTGGCTGCACGTACTACTTGCTTACAAATATGCACCGACAAATACATACATACATATGTACACAAAAACCGTCTTCACTCAATTATAAGCCTATCTTTTTCTTGTAGTTTTCTCTTCCACCCTCGTCTGCCTTTCCAAAAAAAAAAGAAGTTAAACTGTAATAAAAAATAACCATGCACGAAAATAACATCTACGCGGGAATTGGAGCAAAACTGGCATTGCCGACAGTGCCGCGCCGCGCCGCTCCATAAAGCAGTTGTTTGCCGCAATCCCCGCCTCGTGGCAATCGTTTCGACTGCCATTTCCACATCAATCTCGACTTTATCTTCTTTCCACATTAACCTACAGCGTAATTACAGTGTGGAAAATTAATTATCATATATAAAGCAGACGCGGCAACACACACACACACACACACACACACATACTATGTGCGTATGGGCATATGTACAAATGAAAGAAATTGTTTTTTTTTTCTTGTAGTCATATTTAAAGATATATTTGTACTCGTATGCTCGCACTTATTCATACTTAAACTTTTTATTTTTTCATATCACTACTCACACTCGGCGAGTGTATGAATGTATGTACGTATGTACAATAAAGTGGCAACATTGTTGCTTGAAATACAAAATCCATTTAACGTGCATATATACATACATAAGTGAAATTGAAAAGGCCTGCAGGAAACAGAAAAAATTCCATTAATTGTAAAAATCAAAGTGGGTAAGTGAAGATATGAATGCATATAAACATAAGTTTTTTAACAAAAAGTGGACAAGATTTAAAATCTTGTAGCAAATAACACGACCAGCAATCGCTTCGGGTTCGTTATG